GTCAAATTGAACAAAAAAGTTCTCTACCATTTTCCAAATAATCACATAGATTTTTAATTATTAGTTAATGAAGATTATTGCACGATTTTGTGTGATAATGCACTATCTTCTTTAATTAATAATTAAAAATCTATGTGATTATTTGCAAAATGGTAGAGGACTTTTTTCTTCAATTTGGCCTAAAATGTAAGTACACGATGGTAGTCATCGCTATTATAATTCATTTACCATATCCTGCAGGATCATTCACAAATTTTCTATAATTAATATCTCGATAATTAATGCGAATATCGCAAAACGGTACAGGACTTTTATGTTTACCTCAATCTGTTCTACGTCCCCACAAAATGTCCGGAGAAGAGTGTGAGACACCCTGTATATATATATATATATATATATATATATATATATATATATATATATATATTCGATCATACTCTATTTATCATTGTTTTAAGTATAAAAAATCATTTCTTTATTTAAAAAAATTGAAACTTTGTTATCCATGCTTTTCGTACTTCGGAAGAAACCTGATGGAAAACCTGAACGGAATTTCCATTCTTTTAAATAATCCTTTCATACTTAAAACAGACGACAAATAACATGGTCAAGAGCCTATATTGGTATCTCTGTCCGTTTCTTTGAAAAAAAATTCGCGAAAACCTGCCACTTTTTGACCATCCGAAGCCTCTCCTTAACATCTCGTTATTAATAGAACGCAGATTGGTTAACGAAACCCACGCACGACAGTTATGCGAATGGCAACTCTATTTTCAAGTCGATCGATTGAAGCAGCATTGGCAGCCAATGTGCATCGCCGCCGTTGCACATCTCCATTACGAAACAGACACTTCGTCTGCGTGATGAAGATACACAACGGAGGAACCGTTCCGTGCGGGAGGGCGGAAGTGCGGCCGAACCGGCGCGGCTCTCGCGTCCGACTTGCGATCGCATCGAACACGGAGATTCGGTTTCGGCGTAATACAGCCGAAGGTCATCAACAGATTAATTGGGGGAGTCGGTCTCACCCGCGGATCTCGCGCCTAATGACGCGGTGCACGCGGCGCGCGCGCGTCATTCATCGCCGGGCATATCTCTCGATAATAACGCGCCGACGGGGGTAAGAATATCCACTGTCGTCGCCGTATAAGCTCTACCTATGTGGCAATGTATTGCGAAAACCTATAAATAGGTGACCCAGAATGAGAGACCTGTTTATCATTGGTCGGCGATTTTATCGCTCGGCCGTTTCTCCCCCGTTGCACGCCGTTTCCATGCCGCCTTCTCTCTTTCTCTCTTTCTCTCTCTCCCACCCTCTCTCTCTCTCTCTCTCTCTCTCGTTCTCGCATTTGGGATATCGGCCGCGGCGTTTCGCGGTGCGCGTCCTAAAAGCAAATCGTCGGAATCGCGCGCTCGGTGCACCCGCGTCCGCGCATAATTCGAGCAGCCGAGAGTGCATAATTTGAGCCGAGCCGGTCGGCGCATCAGCCGCCGCGTAGCTCGCCGGAGAAAGTCCTATTTTCTTCTTGGTCGCTGTGTGTTGCTTGCGCAGAGAGGAAGAGGCACGAAAGGCCGCCGAGGCGATATCGGAAGAGAACATCGTTCCATATAAGATCGCCGTGAGTATCCGCGAGCCGAAAGGTAAACAGCATCCCCGACACTGCTCTCCTCGTCGCTGACCAGGATTGCGCGACTTTTTCTCCACGTGCCGTCCGCGACACGCTCGGATTTCCCGCCGGCGTTCGCTCCAACGGGAAGATTGTCCTCGCGAACCATTTCGGAAATTGGAAGCTCGTGGGGAAGGGGAAAGACAGTTGGTCGAGTATTCTTTCCCGCGCCACGCCAAGCAAGACTGAACTGATTTTTCTTGTTTTGTCCATTGGTGACCTAATTGATTCGATGGAGCCCTTGAGGTGGTTGCGAGGCGAGATGACTTGATTAGGAACTCGTTGAGACTTGCACCACATATAAATTGAAGTATTATCTAACTGCTCGCGGGCAATTAGAATAAGGTTGACCATTCGAGAATTGAAGCAGTTGAAGCTAAAGTTGAGACTTTTTACACCTATTCTTTAGAGTTGGCGTGCCATTTTTTATTTCTACTTTTAATCTTTTGTAAAGTAAAATTAGAATTTTAAAAAAGCTACACTGTGATATTAAAGACTTTGATGTACCACTGAAAACATGAGCCTTGTAACCTCCTTAATTGATGTTCCTCGTTATTTTTCCTTGCTTTGAGAAACAAGAGGATTTAGAGTGTACGGTTTGAAATCTATTTGGTTTTGCGGTGATCCCTTTTTTTTGCAATGATAAAGAGGAAACTCGAAAGTTTTGTGCCACGTCGTGGAATAATGAAAACGAGCAAACGACTTGTTATGGCTGACTCGTGTCAATTAATCAGATACGCGTTCAGATTCGAACGCATTATTCGTAAGAGACGATCCACGATTTCGGTACATTCCTCGTAATTGCAAATACCTCCGGAAGTGAAAGATCCCTTTTCGTTTCGCGGGATGGAATTTCGTGCTCGTTGAGGGAAATCTTTGATCTTGAATTTGCATGACATTTAGAGAAATATGGTACCAGAGAAAGTGGCAGCGATGATGACGGCGGGCCTGCTTATTAGCTTGCAGACTTACCGCCGCTCTTCCCAGAACAGATCTTGAAGGAGGAGACAGTGATCGAGCGATACGAAGAGGAGACCGTCGAGCAAATAGCGTCCGCCGAAGACGAGGTCAGGCGAGAGGAAGAGAAGCTCGCGGAGGAGAAACCGGTGGACGTCGACAGTGAAATCGTGCCGAACAAAAATCTCACGGATGACGAGATCGCGCAGCTGATCCTCGAGGAGGAGGAACTTCTGTCCGATCAAGGATTATTGGGGTACATTTTCACGATCGCCTCGATTCGTCATCGCCGGTGAAATTGCACGACGGGATTGTCGGTGCGCTTTCCCCTGGCGGTCTTTCTAATTTACGAAATCTTCGCCGAGGATTTTCCCGGCGATTAATCGAAAGCGTCCTGAGTGTCGTTCGGCCTCTCGAATTGAGATCACGGCTACTTCAAGAATTCTGGATAACAATTCATACTTGTGGAGAATTCTGGAAATATTTAGAAAAAAATAATACGATTAATTCAAAATCGATACTTAAAGTCAAATCTGTGAATATGTAGGTCATTTTTCTTATATCTTCAAAATTTGGTAATCTTTGAATACGTTAAGTACATGAAACTCCTTAAATTCTTTTAAGTAAGGTCTCATTGAAAGCAAGTAGATATCCTCTTAAAAAATTTCAGCTATAAAACAGTAACACAATAACATCAAAATCTGCAAACAGATTCGCGCTACTTTGAAATTTCCTCGGATCCTTTGCAAAAGTTACTGAACGATCGGATATTCGTTCGGGTCTCAACTCAACATTGCATGCGAACAGTTAAATTTAAATTGTACTTTTAATACATAGCGACCGTTTTAATCGATTGGAGTGAGTTTGCTTTCGTGTGACAATAGAACATGTCAGATTCACTCTTCAGTTCCGAATAAAACTGTGACTCGACAATTCTAAGTGAGAGATTTCCTTTCTATGAGAGAAAACTCGCTCGAATGGTTCGACCGTCACTCCGTTTCTTCAAACGAAATTTCACTCGAAAAAATTCAGAGAATACGTATAACTAGTCTTTTCTGCTTCACGCAATCGACAGAGTGAACTTCAAGAAGCTACGCCCGCGCGCGTCGATCTTGAAGGGCTCCAAGGTGCTGGAGGAGCTGCAGCACATCGCGATAGCGGAGCCTGAGCGGATACAGGAGCTGAAGCGCACCTCGACCTTCCTGCAAAAGCCGCAGCGACCGGTGCCGAAACCAAAGAATCAGCTGCCTGAAGAAGACGACGGCGAGACCTACAAGGTCGTAATCAAGAAACAGGACAGGAAGACGGTAATCGCGCGTCTCGTGGAGAAGGGTCTGCTGCCGCCAGGATCCGAAATTGCCAGGACACCTGAACCGGCAGAGCCAGAGATTCCCAGGACACCTGAGCCATCGTGCGAGGTAAAGATGCATGAAACGGGGAACAACCTCGAGGAAGATTCTCCCGGAATCGACCCGAATCCTTCGTATTCCACCCTGACCTTAGACACTACCGACGACTCGTTGTCCTCGCGTTTTCCGGAGCCCGACATGAACGAAAGTCGCCTTCTAGAGGTTCAGCCGAACCTTGTCGCGTCCCCTATCTGTAATTCGCAGTTCCTCCACGCGAAACCGAGTCCCCATCTAGCGCTTGCCAGCAAGTTCCCCAGGAAGGCTGCGACGAGACCGAGCAAATGCGCGCGAGCGCACTACGCGGAGAGGATTCTCCTTAGAAACGTCAGCATCTTCGGCCAACGCTTCTGTCCGGAGACCCCGCGAGCGAGGAAGACTCGCGCGGTCGTCTCGAAGCGCACCGGGACGAGGGGAAGATACTTGGCGACGTTTCTGAGGCGTGAAAGCGCCCGTCTGATATCCCTGCTGATAACAATGTTCCAGTTCCTGCGGAAGCGAGATGCTACGGAGTCGTGCGAAGCGCCGGAGGTGCGCGGACGACGTCTGAGTCTGAAGGGCCGTTACTTGGAGCACGTGCTCCAGAAAAACATCGTCCCTGTTCTCCAATGCGTCAAAGAGACCTGTCTCGTCGTTGGTGATCGAGAAGTCGGCAGCGCGCAGAAGGACGAGCCCAAGTCCACGAGGACGAGAGGTCGTTACGTGGAGAAGTGCCTGCACCGGCAGAATCTGCGTCTGAGATGCACGCTGGCGAGCCTGCTCGATCGCGCGAAGAACAGCCTGGATAGCAAGCTCTTCGCGATCTCCAGGTCGCTGAGGGCGAAACGTGGCGCGCGAGCTCGGTACTTCGAACGACTCGTTTGCAAGAATCTCAAGATCCTCGAGCTACTCGCCAAATATGTTTGCTCCAAGGTCTCCGAGTGGCTGGTGGACGGACCGTCGTGCTCGTCGCAAAGGCAACCTGCCGCCGTTATCTCCTCTTGCACTCTCGACGATTCAGTCGCGGGCGAACTGAGAATGGACCCGAGTGCCCGCGGTGTTGAATCCTCCGAAGAAGAAGGCCGTTTTGCTGTCGCTGGCGCCTCTAATACTTCAGTCCCAAATAAAGAGGAGACCGACGGCAGTGACGGCAATGTTCTCAAGTGCGACGGCGATCCAGTCTCGCCGGAGGAAGGCTCCCACGAGGACTTCGGCTCGCTCCAAGCCGCAGACAAGACTGCCGAAGAGGAACACGCGTTTTCACGACTCCTGCAGTCAACTGAAGACTACATCTCCGCTGAAGTCTTCCATCGCGGCAGCAGGAGGCTCTCGAGACCGCGCAGATCCATAGACACCATGGCTGGGGTGAACAAGGACGCCTTCTCCAAGCTCCTACAGTCGACCGAGGATTACATCTCCGCCGAAGTGTTTCATCGCGGCAGCAGGAGGCTCTCCAAGCCCCGCAAGTCCGTGGACATTGTCCGCAAAGAGAGCGACGCTCTCTCCAAGTTCCTGCAGTCGACCGAGGATTACATCTCCGCCGAGGTCTTCCATCGCGGCAGCAGGAGGCTCTCCAGGAGGCTGTCCAAGGACACGGGAGTGGAGAACGGCGCGTTGTCGAGCCTCCTTCGCTCGACTGGCGACTACGTCTCCAACGAGGTGTTCCATCGTAGGAGCAGGAGGCTGTCTAGGTCGTCCAAGAGGGACGCCTCGTGCACAGCACCCATCTGGTGGGACGGATTGAAGAGTATGTGTGTGAACCTACCTTGGTTCTCGCTTAGGATCAGCGAGGAAGGCGCGGAATGCGCGGGGGTCTACATGGGGAAAATCGAGTCCGAGGCCGAGCGCGACGGTCGCAGGCTGTCGTTCGTGCCGACAATCCTTTATCAAGGTCTCACGAATCGCATCGGTGTCGACTTCACGAGACTAGTGGCTTACGCCTTTGTGCCGTGCACCTCGATCGTCCTCCTTTACTTGTACAAGTAGCCGTCCGTCCATCCAGGCATCCGCGCTCGATTTCGATGCAGATCAACCGGTACGACTGAACGATCATGGTCGATAGGAAACGGAGCGTTTTCTCGACCAAAACGACGCGTTAACCCGTTACCTTGGAGCTTGGCGCGCGACGTCCACGACCACGCGATTATATTTAGAAACGAACGTCTCTTGGAACGATCCTAATCGATGTGCCAGATCTCTTTATGCATTACATCGCGATCTTGACGTGTACACTAACCGGCAGCGTGGACCTTAACGCGCGATGTAACCAGGTTGTTGGGATTTTCTAATCATATGCATCATAAGTTCATCACAAACCCATCAGATTTATTCAGAGCACATTCTAAATTCTAAATTCCTGGTAAGTTTAGCACATTTCAATGAAGAATATTCAATTAAGACAAAAATTTGTCACATACTTACTTACTACATACAGTCGAATCAATTTCAAAATTTACAATATTCTTGTGAAGAGAATAAGTTCTTCTTTTAAATACGTGACAAAAAAAATGAGCTTTTCGAGAATTTGGGATAAGTATATTTTGAAACTATATTATCGAAAAAAATGTTGAAGACAACCATTGCTCAAAAGAAGAAAGGTAAACTGAGTAATCCTCTTTCTTAGCAGTAGAATGGTACTTTTCTGTGTGTGTACAGTTTCCTCAGATTGATCCAAAGGTTCTCCCGATAGGAATACTTAGATGTTGAACAAGATATCTTTCAAACAGAAAGAAATATATCCATACACAAAGGAAATGTGTATTCTGTAGGAGAAGATTTCTATATTAATCCCAAAACTATTATTTAATAAAATACCAGTTCTTACTAATACTTTATTAGTATTTTATTATTTAATGTTTATTAGGTTTACTTCTAATTAGAACTTTGATTAGTGCTTTGATGAAATATCACCGTATCAAAACGTATGAGAGTTGATTAGTGCTTTGATGAAATATCACCGTATCAAAACGTATGAGAACGTGCGTTCGAACTTCATCCCCAGTGTAACTAGGTGTAGCATGCTGTCTGTTTCTTCGTTATTAGAACGAGTTGCCAGAGTGACTTTATCGTACGGCGATAATAACCGGGATGTGGAGGTAGCAAAGACCGACCCGAAAATGTAATTAACTTCTCCATGCTGATCCTCCAATTATGTGAAATGTGATTAAAGGTACTAGATAATTAAGTTGTTGAAACTGATTATTTGTACTCGAACCTCCCCTTCCTTACGTGTTGACATATATTGACAATTTAACTGTAAATTAAAGTATTAAAGACTCACTGAAAATTAGCAAATATTCATTTGATGGGTATTAACAACATATTTATTTAAATTTAGATTCTTTTATTTAAATAGAATAAATAATTGTTTTATGAAAAACTAAGGTTTCTTTAGATTTAAAAAAAATGTGTATTTTTTTATTTAAAAAGTATTTTATATTAGTGTAAGTATGTTGTGTTACATAGATAGTGTACTCACCAAATAAATATTTACTTTTTCTTAGATATTTTTTTTCTCAGTGACTACTTTCAATTTATTCAGTCTTGTCAAACGAAATGAAAAAGGAGGAAAATTATACACATGGTCGGAGATTTTAGTTCTGGAAAGGTAGGTGAATATTTAATGTTGAAAAAACGTACGATTTTCTTTATTTGCCGAATGATTAACACATTCCTTGCCACCCGAGTCGCATATTTTGTCACGTGTCCCACCTTGAACATTCCGCCCAGGCCGTTTGATGTTTTTGTTTGTCTATTAAATGTAACATTATCTTAAAATACTTTTCATAAAGTCATGTATGATGTTTAAATATGGTGCACACTTATAACTCCGGATATTTCACGAAATATTTCATACTTTACATAAAAAAGTATCAGGATAAAATATCTCGGAAAATATTCATTTTTCCATGATTTTACTCGAGTATTTTTATACGCAGAATAACTCTGAGTATATCGATTTGTGTAAAAAAAATCATACGATTCCATTTAAAAAACTCAAACAGATCTTGAAAAGAGAGAGAGAGAGTCCGTGACGCACGGTCAAACCAATAATACTATGATATGTTCCTCCTGAAACTCAAAAACTTATGTTATTGTGAAATTTGTTTTCACAATAACATGTAACTTCGGAATTATTAGCATGTTTCATTTAGAATAGAACACCCTATATATAACTATATGTAGTTATTACTGGGACACATTGGATTCATACGGCGTGGAAAATCAGCGGAAATCCGGCACGGAACGTATCAATGCGTAATTCCGTGTAGACACTAGTGATCTAATACAATGTGGTAATTTCTTAACAAGACTTGAAAAATAAAAATTGAATAGCCCAAGCTATAACATGTATGGCCAGCCAACAGCCCGACAGAAGAGTGCACGGTGAGTTCCCTCGCACGGATTGTTGCATGTGCGCCTTATGAGTGTTATGTGCTTCACCACCACTCACTCTCTTCGCATACACTTGTAGACAAAAAGCTTGTCCATAATCTTTGAGGAGAGCTTGTTTAACTCTTCGTCTTGTTCAAGGGGAGGATTCTCAATGGCAGAGTTCATGAACTCACTCCAAAAGCTACAGACAACCTTTCTGTTCATGAGTGTACACATCATTGTCGAAGTATGTACAAAGTAAATGCGACAAATGAGAGAGTACTTGTTAGATGCAACTAATCGAAAGTTAGCGGCAATGACAATCGTTCAAAATCCTTCACGCGCTAAAAATTGTATTGTAACTCGAGGAAGAAGCTTTTAATTGTGCGCTATATCAAAGTCCATAGAGGTATCAGACTTTTGAAAAATTGGAATCTTTTACAACGGGAAAATTATAACAATTTCGCTTTTTCATATAAAATTCTGTTCAACTTTTTAACTTGTCTCCTGGTAATTGTTTTCTAATAGACTGCCAATAGAGTTTGTAGAACATAGTAAGTGTCTCAATAGTAGACCTCAATCCCTAAAATAAAAGTGATGCAAATCGAAAGATCAATAAATTACAGCATAATATCAGTTGCCAGGATATCAGTTGCTAGGATTTTATAGTAATTTTTACTATAAAAAATTCCCTACAATATATAGTAAGAAATAGTCCAGACACCTCATGAGTGTTTACAATTTCGGCTAATATTTCGCTTCCGCAAGAATAAGCCATTTCGCAGGAAAGTTCTCCAAGTTTTCTCGCTGAAATCCTCGCGTGTCTTCTGATTTAGGTAGCGGGAGAGGAGAAGAACGAGCCGAACGAGAGCAAAACAGACGAGGGATCCGAGGGCGCGCGCAACGAGGAGGAAGATTACGATTCCGAGTGTCGCAGGGCGACACCCACGCAGGACGAGACAGCCGCCGGGGAGGATTCGAGCGTCTCCGGGAGGCAGACGACGGATTCAGCTGGCGAGGTGTTCGACAGCGAGAAGATCAAGGAGCTGGTGACTACCGAGATTAGCCTCGAGCAGCAGCTGGAGAACGTACAGCGGCAGTTGCTCGCCCTGAAGCAGCTACCGAGCGAGATCGAGAATCACCTGAGGATCGTGTCCGACCAACTGCACGCGATCATGGAGCTAAGCGGCGTACGATCGCTTGGCAACCGAAGTGGTCAGCAGCGCTGCGACGACTCGTCAGGTGACCGAAATTCGTCGTAGTCGAAATAACCAGCGCCAGGGTGGACCTTGACGAACATCTCCTTCTCTCCCTCCCTCCCTCCTTCCCTCCCTCCCTCTCTCCCTCCCCCTCTCCCCCCTCTCTCTCACTCACTCACTCTC